TGATGTTTGTTATGAGATGATAAATCGTGTGTAAACTTTCTCAGTTTAGCGGAATCATGAACATTTTCGGCGAGATGAATGTTTTGTTTACAGTAGTGATCAAGGCTTCGCGCACCTGTAGGAGCGGATCCAAGGATTTATGAATGAATAAAAACTATGGAAATAACGTACCAATTTTCTAATTTATACTTGCACTATCTAATGAAATGAATAATATACAAGTAATAGATATACAAGAAAACGCGAAATGCTAATAAATGCAGCTGACAATCGTTATTTTTTATATAGATAAAATAAAATAATTATAAAATCTAGAGACAAGACAGAAGAAGAATGAATGTTGGCAAACTATCAAATCACATCAGGAGAACTGAATTTTATAAATGAAACTTTTAAAACGTTACTTGTAAGTTGTATATGTATTATCTGTGTATTCTACCTGGCAGTGCGCTTCATAAGGGGGGGGGGGGGGGTCGTCTTGAACATAGTACCTTACGTTTGAAGGGTAAGGGCTACGGCTTTCGTATTTCAAATATGTAATCCTTGTGAAAAGAACTTTTATTGGACACGAAGAACTTTGACCCTTTGACCTAGACCTTGGAGAACACATGTGTACATCTTAACCTTTTTTTCTGTTTCGTTTCTATGGCAACTGTGAGCGACTCATTACAATTAATTTTAAAGTAGAAATCACTATGACACATTGCAAGGAATTAACATTGAAAGTTTCAAAACGATTGCTTGAGTAGTTATAGAGAAAATCGAAATTAAAGAATTTTAACTTTACCCTGGTTTCCATGGCAATAATCGATTATTTGAAAATTTTAAATGCAAATCGTACAACTACAGATCCTAATCATTAAAATAAAAAAAGTTTCATGACGAACGTTTAAGGGACCAGAGAGAACACTCGCGGACAAAATTCGTCGCTTTTTACAGGTTTCCATGGCAACGGTAGACATATTGGAACTGAACGACCTCACTGCAAAACTACAACCAGTGATCATCCTTTGAGGAAAGTTTCAGGAAGATTGTCCCAGCCATCTCCGAGAAACAGCCTGGATAATAAAAACAATCGCAATATGTCGTCCCCGACTTCGTTCGGGGCGACATAACTAGAGCAAAGCTTGTTGCAAAGAAACGAGTAGGTCTTCCGTCCTGTTTTTGACCAGAAGTGCCAGAAGTGACGTTTGCAAAAGAAAGCAATGAGCCAAGTTGTCTCCAATGACCTTATAATTTCAATTTTGCATCAAAACCTTCAAAAATAAGCTATTTTACGCTACTTCCGGTTTGACCAGAAGTGATGACGACTGGTAGAAAGTTAAGTTTTATGCTTCTTGTGACATTTGTTACCCAAAACTCATCAAGAACAGCAAAATTATGCATTTTCTGACAACTTCCGGTTTGACTGTGACGTCGCCGGACGCATTTTGACGACTTTAACAGATTAAGCTTGAAATTTTGAACAACTTTGCTTCTTCGATGTATTACAAATTCTCAATACTTTTTGAGATATTAATGAAAAACTGTCGGCCCCTTTCAGCCCTTAATTATGGGGGCCAGTCCTTTATCGTTGATATCTTTTGAAAGAGTGTTACATTCTTTGCAAATTTTGTTCTAGAAGTGACGAAAAGAAGGGAAAAAATTTTATGTCCCCGATATGACTTTTTTAGCCATACCGAGTGCCTACATGCTGCACTTCCGGAGAAGAAGAGAGGTGTGTGTCACATCTGCACATGTTGCTTTATCATCACTGAAAATCTTATGTTTTTGAATAAAAGCATTTTTGAGAAAACTGCTGGACAAAGTGACCCTCTGAAAATCACTAGATTGCGGAAATCTCAAAACCGGAAGTGACATCATCAAAACAAAAAAATACGAGTATATGTCAAGTTTGTTTGATGTTCTATCAGTCCTAAAAGTTTTATTAAAATCGAGCGAGCCGTTTTTGAGAACTCGCGTGCACAAAATCGGTAAGAAAAAAACAATAATAAAAATAGAGGAAAAGAAACCTAAGAATAACAGTAAGGTCTTCCGCTGAAGACGTAAGACCTTAATAAGAAACAGAGTTAAAACAATATGTTCCTAAACTCCCAAACATTCCTAGTATTTGAATTTCCATTGGCACATCAATATAAAAAAGGGTGATATACTAGCGATAAATAGAAGACACAAGTAATTTTCAAATAAATGCATTTTGTTGAAATTGGAGGAAAGATAAAGTTACAGTTTTATCTAAAAAAAATTAAGCAATATGTTTAGCGTAAGAACTACATTTCAAAAACTCAGTAAATCACATCTTAATACAATATATTTAGCAAGGAAAAATATTTACAAATATTTCGAAAAAAAAATAGTTTTTCATCAAGCTTGCCTTGAAGAAGTTACTTTTTTTCAATCGTTATCGATCACTCTGCAAGATGACTTTTGTTTATCATGTAACTATTTCTCTTAACTTATTTCACTCCATCACATAAATAATGGATTTTTTTCTGGATCATGTTTGAGAGAAAATACCCTTAAACGAGGGTTGATCAAAAAGTAATGTAACAACTTTGATAAAATTGCTATAAATTGACGTAAAGCAAGAAAATTATGCATTATGAAAGCTATATTTTTTTGTTATCTCCATATCCTTCCCTACATGAAAAATTCAAAGGAATATGATGTATACTTTCCAAAATATCGGATTTTAAACAATGCGCGTTGATGGTAGTCGCCGCACCGAAATATAACGTCACATGACGGATACGCACCGTCATATTTTTAAGCATTTCCCCTTCGTTTCATTAAAATATATAATTGTGATTCGCAAACCCTTCTACCAATTTCACATTCTTTACGATTATTCTTGGTACTATCATACACTAATTTTTTAATAATAAAGCCCTTTTTTGAACAGTAGCATAAGATTAACTTTAAAATTCAAATGTCACTCGATCTACACTTCTTTTTGACAGCGTCAGACACCATTGAACGTTTCCATCTGATCTCCTATATTTCGGTCTCTTCTTGTCCTCTGCTGATAATTCAGTGACCATTGATCTACCCTAAATTGCTGAAACCATCTATTAAAATGTCTCTTATTTACATTCTTTATTCTCTAAGTCTGATTGATTAACTAACTGTCTCATGTGATGATTCCCATATTTTGAAAGAAAAAATGCATTACAACTCCATTTCGACAAACCCTTTGTTCAATTCAACAGTGTAAAACAACAATGTTTATGATCAAAAATACCAATGCCGTCATTTATTTTATAATCAAAGATTAGAAAATGACGAGAATTGTGTTTTAAAAAAAATGGGAGATAAGATTCTTTTTTTATAATCTTTTTAATGTGTTAACTTTGTCTTTTTCATTCTAACAAAAAATACACGTTAAAACGTAACGTTCCGTTGTGACGCAGCGACATCCCCTATGCTCTATGCTTTAAAATCTATGATATAAATTCAAATAAACATTATTAAATTAAAATTTCAATGTTAATTAGATATATTTGTGCATCCTCATGTATATTGTACTTGATAACATGACACCAAATATAAAAGATATGGACACTGCGACATTACTTTTGGGTCAACCCTAGTATCTCTTTAGTTCTAAATCACTGACGCATATTCAGAAGCCATTTGTGAATATATCTCTCAATATTAAATTTGAAACAATTAAATTCTTGCAATTCAGTTATATAATGCAATTAGGCAATAGATCGGTAAGTATATTCCGAGGCATTATGATCAAGAATTATTTTTTCCAGAGACAGTGGCGCAGTGGTTAGACAGTTTGTGCGCATGCTAAGCTAGATTGGCTGGAAAAAAGCTCTCTTGGGTCGCGCATTAAAATCCAGATGCGGGACGTGGAGACTGATGCTTCGGACCAGACTATATAAACCGAGGTCCCATGACACACACAAAAATAAATAAATAAAGATAACATAAAACATGCTCCTTTTTTTTGCTTAAATTTATAATCCTCGATGTAAAAATAAATATATAAACTTAAAAAAAAATTAATCATTAAAATTACCTGTTTTCGCGGGGTCAATTTTTCGCTGAGGAAAAATATGGGTTCGTCGGGGATTTCATTTCGTGGAGGAAGAATTGTTGAGCAGTAGTATCTGTGAAAAATTACCTTTCATAGTGGACATAAAATCGTGAGTCTCCTTTACCTCGAAAACCTCGAGAATCAAACCCCAAATAAAATACATTATGCAAAATAATTTCCAAATTTTATTTGAACAGAATTAAAAAATATATATATATATGTGTTTGTATATCTTGAAAATAAAATGGACAAGTGTAATATACTTATGATAAAACGCATTATAATATATTAAAATTATTTCATATAACATCACGGTATGATTTACTGTAAAATGTTGACAAGTAGATATCAATATTACATTATACCTCTAAATTGTATCATTGGGATTTTCTTCTTCTTTATCTAAAACCTTATTATTTACCACAATTACATTTATTTATCATCATTAGGGATATATTTGGATTCTTATAAAAAAAAAGGAAGAAACAAATATTTGATTCTCATATTTGAATACATATATAACTGAAATATTATTTGATAATACGTATAATACTGATGTATTATTTGATATTCATATATTTAAGAGGCAGTCCGTAATTATGGCACACTTTGTTGGTTTTCTGTCACATGGGCGACTACATGAAAATTACAAAATGGGTTTGCAACTTCCGCAATGTATCGGAGTACCTTCAGTGTCAGTATTCACTTAACAGTCACAGTGTAAATCCATTTTACAAGGATGATGTGTCGTCCTGCAAAATTATCGATGACATTTCATCGATTCAGGCAAATTTTCTTAATTTTCCTCTGCTCAACCAGTTCAGCAGTTTTATTGACTGGGCCTTACGTATGTCACAGGTAATTTAATCTGAACAATTGTTCAATGTAAATATGAAATAAAACAAATCTCACTTCTATTGATATTGATACATTTTTTTGTAGTAAAAATGAAACTTTTTGTTGTAAAGACTCTGAAGAAAGAAATAACATGTGCGTTGGTAAGATTTAATTTGTTACACTGCACGAAACATTTTGTGTAGATATTGCAAAGAAACTTCTAAAGTCTAGATGGATTTTATTTTTAATATAAACACTTTTCATTTTGTTTAAAGTTACTTCACATCTTTGTTTAATTATTTTACTTACCCATTGCGATATATAGAGTGCAGACCTGGATTTCGGGGGTTTGATTGCAACTTGACATGTCCATTAAATCATTATGGTCCGGGTTGTAGAACACAATGCAATTGTAATAACGTATCTGAGTACTGTCATCATATATGTGGATGTATTTCAAATCGGACCAAACCTTTGGTGATTGACAATGTCACCAACATGGAACATTACGATAACATCACAGACATTGAGCAAACCCTTTCGATGGAGTTGTGTTTATCTTCGATAAAAAATTCCATCGAAACAAAAATCAACAACGTTGGAAAAAACACTGGTAGTATAAATTTACATATATTAAGCGAAAAATTTTTTAAAAAAATCAATGTTATTGTTTTTTTTAAAGAAACATGATTTCGCAACATCTTATATTGGCGTTCAATAACTGGATTATTTATTAATTTTGTCGGTTTTCTTGAAGTAAATTTAAATTATATGTAGCAACGTCCTACCTTCAAACTATTTCGGTCGGAATTTTGAGATAAAATGCCAAGAAGATTGAACATGCAATGTGAAAATGACGATTTTCCTGTAAGAATCATGAACGATATGCATCTTTTTCAGTTAATATCACCGAAATAAGGAATAACACAACTGAAAAAAACGATGGTAATTATTTGAAATATTTTAATAATGTTATGATTTAAAAGAGATTTCCTTAATTGCTCTTCGATTATACAATAAGGATATTATATAATGATAAAAAAAATATACTGCCATTCTTAGAATGTTGTCGGTTACAATAATAATTGAATACAAAAATTTGCAATCTTACTCAAAAAAAAGAAGAAAAATTAAAGTTTGTAAACACAAAGAAAGACCAAACCAATTAAAAAAAAATAAAGAGCCTAGAGATAAAATCATAATCCTGGACAAAGTAACTTTATTAACTTCAAGGAAAAATATGAAGCCCGTTTTCATGTTCGACCATTGGGCTCTTTCGAAAAATATGTGTTGAATCCAAAAATAAATATAACGATCAGTTACTGTAATCAATCTCGAAAATCAAAATTGAATTCTGAACACAGAACCTTGAAAATACAAGAGATAGAATCAGGTATGGAAGAACGAAAAGCATTTCCTGTCGACCAGTCCCACCGGCAAGGACCATTAGACGTCATTGAATAGACGGGATTCTCTTTTTCTAGTCAAATTAAGTATAAATGCCATGACCTTAAAAATAGTATTAAAGGGTCAGACAAAATACGACACAGAGATCGGTTATATTTATAGACGAGGGTATTTTGATGACAATTGAATTTTCAAAAGCTCACTTTAACCTATTTGTTAAAATCTTTGTTGCATCAATTTCTTTGACAGAAGCTTGCCTCTAGATAGTGTTCAAAGCATGTACTACATGTAATAGCAGCTCGTATCACTTCAGAATCATAATGATAAACATCAACACAGATTATGTTAAAATAAAACTATATAAGTAAAGGGAATTATTGATGGAATGCTGAAGTCATCCCGTTTTTAATACATTCAAGTTCTAAGTTGACCATTATGCAGTTGCACACTCAATTTGCACACTCAGATAATTAATGATTAGGTCTAACGTGAGAGCGATAGCAACTTCTGTCTGCTGAAAAATTATTTCAAAGTAATTTAAAAAAAATGCACTAAGTCTTATTGTAACGTTAAAATAATTTATATACATGGCACTAGCAAAAAAAAAAAAAAAAAAAAAAAATTCGAGATTAACTGTAGATTAAGATGATATTTGCTATCTACGTTCTAAATTTGAACTTTGATATCCCAACATTTATATTTCTATAGTTAAATTAACTTTAAACTGTGTCTGATATTTTGATGCCAAATCGGAAATAAATCGGTTATTGTTTTAAATATCTGCTTTCTATGAAACGCGATTGATTTAAATTGTCATGTTTTATTTACAGAAAAGTCCTTGATGTATAAAGTAATAAAACAAATAGAAAGATCTTTTTAATTTTAAATAGTCTGAATTTATAAAAAAAAAATACACCAAATATGACTTTAAATTGTTCCTACGACCAAAGAGACGTTTAAAAGCGAACATATGGAACGCCGTAACTGCCTTATGTGGAGAATTTCATTATATGTTAATTATATAACTTTATTATATGTGGTATTTTGCCATTATATGATGGTATTTTATTATTATATACTGGTAATTTGTCATTATTGTTTTTAATTATATGATGGTATTTTGTATATAATGCTACTTTGATTTAATATGATGGTATTTTGTATTATATGAAGGTAATTAAATGGTATTTTATATATATACTGGTAACATTATATACAATTATAGAAAGATCATTATATTATGGTATTTTATCATTATATTATGGTATTTTATCAATATACTTTTTTTCTTTATACTACTTTTCATTATACTACTTTTCATTATATGCTACTACTTTTTCGTCACTGTTTGTAGTCTCGATCATCCAGACGCTTGTCTAAAAACAAAACACACATAGAAAAATCAAACGATATTTTGATCACACGTTATATTTTAATAAACTTTCAATGAAATTTCAACAATGATAATTGTAGTGGACATGTATTGTTTCTGTTCCCTAATTAAGCTTTGTGAATCAAAAGTATGTTTTGGATATGTCAATGAATAAGACAATACCAAGGAGTAAATTAATATTCCTATGCGAGCTTAAACTTTTTCGTCTTGTTTTGTGGTACATGTTGTACAAACGGCTCTAAGAAAAATCTGAAAACATTTGGAGAAATTGGCATCAGAGAAAACGCATTGGTTGTTTTTTTTTATATTTGACAGCCACCTGTATATATACTGTTATATTACTTTATACAGATTGTCTGATTTGTTAATTGATATGCTATCTATCATTTAACATTAACTGATATGTTATTTAAAATAGAAAAACTAATGGTCATTATACATTGTTTATCTTTTTTCAATTATTTTCCAATGTTTGTGTAGTGTTTTCCCAAGTTTTTTGACTGCAGGATTGCACTTGGTAACAAGCACAGAGGGCGGTCTATTAGATTTGGTCTTGCAATTTTTGAGCAATTCTTGTCTCTTAAAAAAAATGAAAAGTAAAATAAATTCATAGAAAAGTAGTTAATGAAAAGTACATAATGAAAAGTAGTATAAAGAAAAGTATTCTGAGAAAATTATATTGACAAAGTACCATCATATAATGACAAAATACAATCATATAATGATAAAATACCATCATATAATGATAAAATACCAGCATATAATGACAAAATACCATCATATACTGATAAAATACCATCATATAATGACAAAGTACCAGCATATAATGAAAGTCCTCCACATAAGGCAGTTACGGCGTTCCATACAAACAAACCAACAAACAACGTTTTGATCACTAGCTTTATCTTTTACAACAAAATTTCAACAAGTACAATAAAGAGCCAATGTAATAGCTTTAGAAATAAAACAGAAGAGTGCCTAAGATTTATGTTAACTAAATATATTGTAGAAAATTTATTAACAAACTGATACAAGAACAAACTATAAATTTGTAAATTATTGAAATAGCAATTGTTTTTTTTTTCGTATGTGAACAACTTACTTTAACAATCGGTGTGTCATGGATAAATATAATTTAACATCAACTGATACTGTTATTTAAAATAGAAAAAATGGTTATTATACATTGTATGGCCAAAGATTATTTTTCAGGTTTCATGGATGAGTGATGTGAAGATATATATATGTATCTGAAATCGATGCATGTATGATAAAACGTAAATACATGCATATCAATTTAAGTACAGTGAACATATCGAGTATTCTATTCTATGCTGTCTTTTATAATATTACAGAAAAAGGACCCTTCATAGAAGACCACCAAATTTTGATGATATTCCTTGTCGTACTGTCATGCGTGTTATTTGCCTGCTTGCTCCTCTTCTTTGGAATAACTTACAGGTAAAATAGATTTTTTTTTGTTTTTCTAAATGACAATCAAATCATAAAACCTAAGGATAAAACCATTACTGATTGCATTAATGAATATATTGTAGAAAATATTATGTCAAAAAGAAAGAGGACGGACATGGTAAGCTAACGATGAAATATTTTATCACCTACTTCTATCAAGTAGATTAGAGCCAATTACAGTGTAACATAACTTCCCAGAAGTACTTTACATAATTATAACAGTTACTCTATAACTCTATTACTTTATCATACCCTAACTTTCCGCATGTTTTCAATATTGTATTAATTTAAACATTCACATGATATAAAAAATAATAAGAATAAGATTTTAAAGTACTCGAGGGTAGTGTGTTGTTTTCAATGGGCTGTAAATGAAGATTGTAATAACGTACTTGTTTTCCCTCTCAAGGTAGTTATTTCTTGCAAAGAACAAAAATCAAAGTTTGAGAGAGGTTTCGTAATAATCAATATCTTCAGAAAGAAAAAAAATACTAGTAGTAAAGATCCGGTCAGTTGTGTTCTCTTGAAAAGACTCGCCCCAGAAAGGCCAAATATGAACACAGGGTATTCTTTTTTAAAGAAAGAAATGAGAGAAAGTTGCATTTAAAACTGGTGATTTGTAAAATGTACTATTACTGGAATTGAAAAATTATTTATATTAAATGATATCGATAAACAATAATTTTCAATGCGTATATAAAGGAAATAAAGCACATGAATTTCAACAAACCTAACTTTAAATTTCAGTCACCAGAAATCCTTTAAATAAAAATTATTATTAACTAAAATTCTAATTCAGATTGACTTCATTGAATTTATTTAAAACAAAAAGCTGAAAAAAGAAACTTGCTAATTGATATTCAAAAATGATATTTCATTTCTTTTTATTTTTAAAGATGGTGTTAACGTTCATAATGCGTTATATATAACCCAAGAAAGAAACAGAGAAAACAACACTGTAAGCAGAGAAGATATGTCTGAAGATCCACTCTATGGCTCCTGTGAAGACCCTTGTTATAGTACACTAACACTGAGGGTTAACTATGGCCCTATATATCCATGTAATCAAAACGGATCTTCTGAAGATTTTAATCCCTATGGCTATACGTACGAAGGGGAGGGAAATGTGGCTAGAATACAAGGAACGAACGACAATAAAATTTATGTAGATAAAGAAAGTATACGAACGCATATAAGCTCAACTCAAGGACAGTATGAAGACCCGTGGAGAAACGAGTGTAATAACTCCCTTTTGCGTCACTCTTCACAAAGGAGGTTTGACCTTATGCCACTTGAAGAATCTTACAGTGCTATAAGGGGAAAAGAATATGGGCCATACGAGCTGGCATCTAGTAAAATGTGAAAGTTTGATTGACAACAATATAAATTACGGACAATTTTTCTGAAATGTGTTTCAAGCAAAAAAAAATGGGCAACCTTGGACACATCAGATAACACTGACTTTCTAAAGTTAAAATATATATCTCTTATCAATAACAAATTTCTTTTTAGTCCAATGTTGTTTCCTCAGGGTTAAAAAAAAATATTTTCGCTAGGGTAAATTTTACTTGAATATTGTTCCTCTATCTTCTTTCCAACTTGCTACTTAATATATGTATTTTTAAAGTTAGCTGATTTGATCTTACTGCCATTTACACGTTGCTTACAAAACTGTTACTTTTGCGTCTGATGTTAAGATCATCTAAACCCCATTTTTATGGTATTGCTGATCACGAAGAAGCTTGACCTAATGAAACACTATAATTACATTTGAATTTTGGATTGCAGCACTCTCTACATGATTGTAAAGAGAGAAATCTTAATACATATAGTTCATTCAAATGTACGAGGCTTATTACCATCATGATTTACACATCAATGGAAGAATATTTGTAGAAGGACCTGTTTGGTCAAATATATCAGATAGGAGAGAATCTACAAGGGAACTCAGTTTATTCAGTAATTGTGTTTGCGACGTGGCGTGCTCTTACGGTAAAAATTATAAGCCCTTTATTGTAGCTAATATTCGATTACTAAGCCAATGTGTTAACATGACCATATCTAACAGGAGAAGTAACACTAAGACCCTGTAAATAAGATAGGTTGTACTCATTAGTATAAGTAATTTTATGAGTGTCGTCTCATTAGAAACAAATATGATAATTTTTTAAGTGAATTGCATTCGCATTACCGAGATTTGTAAAGTTTCACTTGTAAATGAAAGTTTTATAGTATCGTCGTTTTCTAACCGTAAATAAAAGATTGTTTGAGTGGATGTAATAGGAAAATACTTCCCTAGACCTATCATAAATTTACTTTCAGGTAGATCTTCTTCATTTTGTTATCTCCAGCTATTGCACACATTATCACGTATGTGTACGGTGTCTGCTTTGTTCTTCCACAAAATGCAGCATTACACATATTAAACAATTAAGACCTACGCAAGTAGAACAGTATATAATTACGTATAATTATACAGCATGCACAGCGTAATGTATATTTCATAAAATCATACACCAGTTTGCTTAATATTAAGACCGAGGTTATGAAATATCAGTAATGAGGAAGAAAAACTAATTTTATGTCAATTATTCAACTTCCCTTATTAAGATTTAAGCTGATAAGTGTGTCTGGTGGCGCTAAAATTTTGTTATTTGATTTATGGTTGTGGCCATTTTCAGACTACTTTGACCTCCTTTAGAAGAAGAGCTCCATATAAAGATATACAAAATGATCACATTTCAAAACTAAAATGTATGAAATTTTTCTTTGCCAAATGATTGTTGACAGCTTAAGATATCATAATTAAAAACTTAAGTTAAATCTGGTGGTTAATTTGTTTGACCCCCCCCCCCCCCAGCCTACTTAAACTATTCATCTTTTCCTTAAACTTCAATATGCCAATAAAGGAATAATGATAATATACGTAATTTTATTTACCACAAAAGGGTTCAGTCTTGTATTCCACCATATTGCAAGTTAAAGACCACACCTTGTACTACCTACAAGTGTACATCGGCTATTGCGTCCAAACATTTTAATTACAAAAACTTTACATGACCTGGATATAGAGTATCTAAAACATAAAATTCCATCGAGTTCATTTTCTTCACTCTATAACAATAGTCCTGCTAGACACCTTATTACAGGTGACGTAAATATAGTTAATAATGAGGACATTTAAGCTTTTTTTTTAAAAGGTCCTAAATATAGGAAACCCCGATCCGGCCTTCAACTGGCGTCAGAATTTCATAAATATCATGGATCAAAGATTACGCCAGGCGATGGGCCAGATATGAAAAAGAAGACGTTGACACTTTGTCAGAATGGATTAAATTTATCAGATCCCTGAAAAATCGCGTATCAAAAAGATTGAGGGGCAATATCAAAACCATCTTTCCTTCTGTATTTAATGATCTAGAAGTGATAAGAGAAATAGATACATGTAGGTAACATGATCAGTACGTACTGGTTCCTGCTGAGCTGACAAAGCAGGTAACAACATTGTCTTCGTTTGTAAGGTTCATTATATAAATTGTATTTTAGAAGATCTTGGATTTAATCCTAAAAGTGGTAATCCATCTTATACTCATAGATCACTTTCTAGGGAGGAAATTATTCAAAATCATATGTCAGTTTTTAATATTTTTAATACCCCCCCCCCCCCCAAAAAAAAATATTTGAACTACAATATATATATTGGATTCCAAAACTTCATAAGAATCCTAACAAACAGAGATACATAGCGGGTTCCAGTAAATGTTCAACAAAGAACCTTTCTCTACTCCTGACTCAGATATGAACAGTAGTGAAGGAGAAACTTCAAGACTACTGTGCAACAGTTTAGTGAAGAAGTGGTGTGAATCAGATGTGAATACTCAAAAATTCCAAGGAACTTTTGAACAATTTGAAATCACAAGATTAATCACAGATTTTATCTAAATCAACAGCTTAAAAACATACGACATTTCAACTTTACACACAACCATTCTCCATTATAAATTAAAGTCCAGGCGTTTTGATATTATTGGCAGCTGCTTTATCGATAAAAATGGAACTCGTAAGTTTAGTTACCTTGTCAATGGTCATTTGCAAAAAATATTTTGTTAAAAAACATTCTGATTGTACATACAAGTACTTTGAAGTTGAAATCAAAAAGATACTTGAGTTTCTGATTGACAATATCTATGTTGTTTTTGTAGACCAGGTCTTCCAACAATCTATTAGAATTCCCAAATGGGTACCCCGTTATTAACTGACCTATTTTTGTTTTCATATGAAGCAGAATTTGTGCAAAATCTAATGCATGATAAGAAGAAAATACGTGCTGTGACCTTCAACTCGACATTTAGATATACATGTATAGACAACGTAATGTCAATCAACAACGTTAATTTCAACTCTAATGTAGATACGATATCATGGTGAGCTTGAGATAAAAGATAGCACAGAGTCTGACAAATCTGTTTCATATTTAGATATTTTACTTGAAAAAACGTTAATGGTAATCTAACAACCAAGCTCTATAATAAGCGTGATTACTTTAACTTTTCTATCGTCAACTTCTCTTACTTAATAT